AGTCACGGATATGATAGCTTCACAGATTGATTTCAAAATGTTTTCTCAAGTTGTGTATGTCAAAAGATAGATCAAATCTGTATTTATAAAGTAAAACAGAGATCCAGAACGTTTCATTAATTACAAACTGAATCAGAGAGGCAAATGATCGATCAGAATAAAATATAACAGGTTAGAATCGATTGTGATCGATTAGAACAGTATTATGATCAATTAGAACAAGTTATGATTGATCAGAATGAAATTATGATCGATCAGAATGCATTTCAATCGATTAAAACGACGAGTCAATCGATTGATTTCATTTAAAACTTTATTCAATCGATTGATTCGAGTTTTCAATGGATTGAAACAACTTTATGAAAAATGATAGCTCTCTGTTTCAATCGATTGAAAATCATTTCAACAGATTGAAATCCTGCAGACTCTTAGATAGAAAAATAGTCTCTCTGTTTCAACAGATTAAAAAATATTTCAACAGATTGATTTTCTGAAAACTCTTAGACTGAAAAAAATAGTCTTTCTGTTTCAACAGATTAAAAAACATTTCAACAGATTGAAAATGCGAAACCTTGATATTGAAAAATTCATTAAGTCATTTTAACCTGTTGATTCTGCGATTCAACCAATTGAAATTTCGACTATGTATGACCACTTATTATGTTAAGTGATTTTAACAGATTGAAAATCATTTTCAACAGATTGAAAAACTTAGTTTGTTCTTTTAATGCTTAAATGTTAGTTTTTCATGCAGAAAAATGATTTCACTGAGATGCATCATATTAAGGCGCTTATCACAAAATATATTGGCCTATCAAGAGATTAAGTTCAAGCTCCTAGCCTATTCATCTACACACCCACAAACTAAACTATATCCACTCAATATTATGTCTTCATCAAATCCACCAAGTGCTTCAAATGTGTCTATACTTCCACTATAATCCTATTGTGTTTGTGTTTGTCTTATGCAGGTGCATGTAAACATCCTATTGTAGGTATGATCCTATTTCACCAATACCTATTAATGTGTATATACTTTTACTGTGATCCTATTGTATTTTCGTTTGTGTTTGACTTATGCAGGTGCATGTGTACATCCCATTGCAGGTATGATCCTACTCCACCAATAGTTATTAATCTTTCCACACTTCCACTGTCAACTTATTGTCTTCTTCTTTGTCTTTGTCTTATCCAGGTGCAAGTATACATCCTATTGCAGGTATGATCCTATTTTACCAGTACTTATTAATGTGTTTATACATCCACTGTCATCCTATTGTGTTCGTGTTTGTCTTATGCAGATGCATGTGAACATCCTACTATAGGTATGATCCTATTCCACCAATACTTTTAATGTGTATATACTTCCACTATCATCCTATTGTATTTCTGTTTGTGTTTAACTTATGCAAGTGCACATATACAAGTTATTACAAGTATAATCCTATTTCACCAATACTTATTAATGTTTTTTTACGTCCACTGTCAACTTATTGTGTTCATCTTTATGTTTGTCTTATGCAGGTGCAAGTGTACCTCCTATTATAAGTATGATCCTATTTCACCAATATTTATTATTGTGTCTATACTTCCACTGTCCTCCTATGGTGTTTGTCTTTGTTTTTGTGTTATGTAGATGCACATGTACATCCTATTCTAAGTATGATCCTATTACACCAATACTTACTAATGGGTCTTTACTTCCACTATCATCCTATTGTGTTTGTGTTTGGGTTTATGTGTGTTTTATGCAGGTGCACATGTACATCCTAGTGCAGGTATGATCCTATTGCACCAATACTTTTTAATGTTTCCATACGTCCACAGTCATCATATTGTGTTAATCTTTGTGTTTGTCTTATCCAAGTGCAAGTGTACTATTTCTATTGTAGATATGATCCTATTCCACCAATACTTATTATTGTGTATATACTTCCACTGTCCTCTTATTATGTTTGTCTTATGCAGATGCACATGTACATCCTTTTGCAGGTATGATCCTATTCTACCAATATTTACCAATGTGTCTACACTTCCACTGTCATCCTATTGTGTTTGTATTTTTTTTATTTGTCTTATCTAGGTGCACGTGTACATCCTATTGCATGTATGATCCAATTCCACCAATACTTATTAATGTTTCTATACTTTCACTATCGGCATATCGTGTTTTTGTTTGTCTTATGCAAATGCATGTGTACATCCTAATACAGGTATGATCTTATTCTACCAATACTTATTAATGTGTCTATATCTTCACTGTCATCCAATTGTGTTTGCGTTTGCTTTTTTATTTGCGTTTTCTTTTGTGTTTGTGCTTTTATTTTTGTGTTTTTTTTTTACGTTTGTGTTTAATCTTGTATTTGTGTTTGTATGATTTTGTGTGTGTTTATGTTTGTGATTGTTTGTGTTTATGTTTGTGTGTGTGTTTATGTTTATGTTGTTCGCTCAATTTATGCCTAGCTAGTAATTTTACAACCCCATCAACCCACTATGAGTTAAGTCTTTTGGGTCACTAAACCACATTTATTTTCTTTTACTCAATGTTTGTTTTTAATAAGCACAACTGAATTGCAGACTAAAAGAATATGCTGTTGTGGCACGAAAAATCTGTGACGCGATGAAAATGTAACTAATGTTATTGAGCAATTGAACATAGAGGTGCACATGTATATCCTATTGCAGGTACGATTCTATTTTACTAATTCTTAATAGTGTGTCCATATTTTCACTGTAACCCTATTGTGTTTGTGTTTGTGTCCTTTTTTTATTTGTCTTATGCAGATCCACATGTACATCCGATTACAGGTATGATCCTATTTCACCAATACTTATTAATGTTTCTATATTTCCACTGTCATCCTATTGTGTTTTTGTTTGTGTTTCTTTTATGCAGGTTCAAGTGTACATCATATTGCTGGTATGATCCTATTCCACCAATACTTATGTCTATACATCCCCTATCCTCTTATTATGTTTGTCTTTGTGTTTATCTTCTGCAGGTGCACGTGTACATCCTATTGCAGATGTGATCCTATTCCATCAATACTTATCAATATGTCTATACTTTCATCATCATCCTATTGTGTTTGTCTTATGTAGGTGCATGTGAACATCCTATTGTAGGTATGATCCTATTCTACCAATACCTATTAATATGTATATACTTCAACTATCAACCTATTGTATTTCTATTTGTGTTTGACTCATGTAGGTGCACGTGTACATCCCATTGCAGGTATGTTCCTACTCCACCAATAGTTACTAATGTTTCTACACGTCCACTGTCAACTTATTATGTTCATCTTTGTCTTTGTCTTATGTAGGTACAAGTGTGCATCCTATTGTAGGTATGATCTTATTTCACCAGTACTTATTAATATGTTTATACATCCTCTGTCATTCTATTGTGTTTGTGTTTATCTTATGTAGGTGCATGTGAACATTCTACTGTAGGTATAATCCGATTGCACCAATACGTATTAATATGTATATACTTCCACTGTCATCCTATTGTATTTCTGTTTGTGCTTAACTTATGCAAATGCACGTATACAATCTATTACAAGTATGATCCTATTCCACAAATACTTATTAATGTTTTTTTATGTCTACGTTTAATTTTTTGTGTTCATCTTTGTGTTTGTCTTATGCAGGTACAAGTGTACATCCTGTTGTAGGTATGGTCCTATTTCACCAATACTTATTAATTGTCTATACTTCCACTGTCATCTTATTATGTTTATCTTATGCAGATGCACATGTACATCCTTTTGTAGGTATGATCATATTCTACCAATATTTACCAATGTGTCTACACTTCCACTGTCATTCTATTGTGTTTGAATTTTTTTTTATTTGTCTTATTTATGTGCACATGTACATCCTATTGCAGGTATGATCCAATTCCACCAATACTTATTAATGTTTCTATACTTCCACTATCAACATATTGTGTTTGTGTTTGTCTTATGCAAATGCACGTGTACATCCTAATGCAGGTATGATCCTATTATACCAATACTTATTAATGTGTCTATACTTTCACTGTCATCGTATTGTGTTTGCGTTTGCTTTTTTGTTTGCGTTTTCTTTTGTGTTTGTGTTTTTATTTTTGTTTGTGTTTGGGTTTGACCTTGTGTTTGTGTTTGTATGATTTTTTGTGTGTTTATGTTTGTGATTGTTTGTGTTTATGTTTGTGTTGTTCGCTTAATTAAAAACAAACAGGTTATTGTGCTAAAAAATTAGATGAGTAAAACAAACTACTTTCTTAAGCACTCCACACTTTTCATAATCACTTCCTAAACACTTTTAATTCATGTAGAAACTAAAAAGCAACTTTCCCAACGGTTAAAAGAAAGATCAAGATGAAAACGGGGGATAATGAATGTGCTGATGATGAAACAAAAGTAATGTTTTTGGAATAAATAGTGATTCAATTAATTTCACTGCTTTTCCTAGTTCTTTTTACCCTTGCAGCCACTCGTACCTCTTATATGTAATTCGATAGTCAATAAATGTATACAGCAAAATATTGGCTTTGATTTGACATGTACATGCTACAACTTACCACTAATACATTATTATGGTCTAGAAACACAGAAATGAACCAAATTCTGTGAGATATACCTTTTTGAAATGTTTTACTATGAAACCAGAACTGAAGATTCATAATGGATTTTCAGATATCTCCACCACAAGAATGTATAAACTTCTCCACTAAAAGTGGATGGATGTTGACTCCTTCAGTGAGACAAACCTACAGGTAATTCATATAATATTAATATATGTTTGGACAATTTATTTTACTACTTGAAAACATAAACTGAAAAACATACAGTATACAGATGGGAAAACAACTCCTTTGGCGATGGCAACAGGAATGGAACATGGAACCTATCAAACTTATGTGGGAGACCCGGATTATCACCTATTACAGCAGTATGTCTCCATTAATATGAACATCCAAGAAAATCTGAGTTAAGCAAAAATTCATCATTCTAACTAGTCATCTTCCTATTACTAGTCAATATAATTGGCCCCTTTGAAGTCTCAGCAATCTGTTGTATGACAGCTATACATCCACGATCTTCGGCGTAAAGGATGTCCACATCCTCAACTAGGACTAGAGGATGGAATTTATACTTTTCAGACTCATCATTTTCACCTAGTAACTTCAATGATGATCCACCATTGAACAGAGTTGGAGATGGGGGAAAATTTTTAGAGTTCTTCTGTGAACTCGCCTTGTTTTCTTATTGCCTGAAATATATACACATCAAATAATATATTATCACAAAACAGGTCTACATAAGCTACTTTTATGGAGTAACTTGGTTTTACTCAATACAATTGAATCAAGGCACATCATGCAACAATGAACTTTAATTATAAATATCATACTCTACTTAGACCTAGACATTTTAGCTTGTCTCGGAGGATTGAAGAAGGGAAGGACCCAGTTGATGCAAATAAAAGCATCAAATGACCAGTGTTTGAAGAAAGAAGCAAAAACAACACGTCTTCAAGAATTGTTTTGGATTCTCATAGTGCCAAACACGAAGATTATGTTGAGTTAGCTTACAATAAGGAAGTTATAAAAAGACTTTTTTAAGATCAAAATTTTATTCTGGCTCTCAACCATTGGATAATCATATTACTATACTCTTGAATCTCCAACTTAAGATAGATTGCTTCCTGCAATCTGGCATAAAGTATTGTTTATTATATAAAAGTCAAACAAGGGAATATACACTTCCATGTTCAAAAGACCTTTGATTTCCTGAGAAATTTGAATTGCCCCTCAAAAAAATATAACACTCAAGTAATCCAACAAAATATTGCAGGAAAGTGAAAGTAAATGCAAGACCATTACAGTTAGTTAAAATTACTCAGCCACAGAAGATTGGAAGTTATCAGCTAGCATTGATAGAACAAGTTAGCAAACCCGTGGAACCCAATTGAAGTAAGAGGTTCTTCCAAGTTCCTGATAGCAGTCCCATTTCTAGAATGTGATGAATTGAGCTATTTAGATAACATGAACAATAATTAAGTTTGGCCATATTCATGGTTGAAAAGAAAGATATATGACAAGAAGAATAAATGTTTTGACAACTAGTAGATGTTTTAATAGAAAACATAATGTTGATAGATGTTTGAGGGGAATAAATATATTGGGCACATCTGTTTCTTAAGAACTTTGTATGAAAAGCCCAGATTAGCAACTGGGCATACGAGTAAGTGTTTCTACCATACTTTCTCAATGTTTTAAACCAAAAATAACAATCTTTCAGCTAATCAATTTTCCCATTAAACAGGAAAGACCAAAAATTCAAATTTCAGGGAAGACAACAAACTTCATCAGGCTACATTTAAATCCGGCTAAACAATCACTGTACTTGATCTTCAGTAATGCTTATAAAATTTTAAGGTGGCTATTTACAATACCATGGGGTCAATCGATGAATATTATTACTACAAAGTATATCAATTTATAAGCATAAATTTAAAAAATATATTCATAAACTGTGATACCTCTAAAATACTAAACCCTTGCTCTTTGGCACAAGCATATACAGCTGATGACTTGCCACTCTTCAATATTTAACTTATAATTAGTTACCAATATAAACAGGAAATGTTTACACTGGAAAAACACTGGTTCTAGAAAAAGTAAATGATGACAGTGCTTTGCAACGATGATAATGTTATCCAAGGAAAGGAGCATTTAGAAAGCACGGTCAGTAAAGTTTTAGATTTTATACAAATATTGTTGAATTAGCATGAAAGACAAAGAGCAACATTCCTAAGTCCATGATACTATTATTAGAACTCCAATTAAATTAATATGAATGATTTTTTCTTACTACAATGATCACACACAGATGAACAGAGGCAACTATTTGCTGAAAAGGTAAAATAAAGACAGGTTCAAAATCAATAATCAATAACTAAAAAGAAAATAGGGATTTGGCTATTGCCAGATTAAACTTGGCAAGGTAAAAGGACATTCATTAGTAAGTAATAACAGTTACACTAGTAGTAGAAACAGTACAAGTGCAGGCAGAGAGTTGTGCTTTGACATTCAATAATCCACAGAGAAATCCACAAGCTTCTATTCATTCCTGGATGATTTTAAAATAGGATATAACAACAGCCATATCTAGTGTGTTTTGATGGCGTTCCAGTAAAAGGAATAAAATAATTGCTAGTTTACTTTGCTCAGAAGCAAAATTTTTCAACCACTATGTTATAAAAAAGCTTAGGATATATATGTATGTACCCATGGTTTTTATAATTTTTCAACTTTTTATCTACTCTCCAGTTCCCCATGGTTTTATATTGCGTTCAATAATCAATAGGGGATTAGCCGTTGTAGACCCCAAATCTTGCCCGGCCTCCAAATAAAGACCAGAAGACCTCCTATTTGAAGATGGATGAAGCCTAACAAGCCATTAGGAGAGACTATTAGGCCCCATACTAGGATAGGAGGGAGTTTCTGTACGAAAGAATAAGTTTTCTCGCTTCGTTGGGACGAGACCGCCCTCTGGATTTCCCAGACCGCCGTCTCGCCTCATGCAAGTGGCGAGACGGCGGTCTTGTTTCCCCAGACGGCGGTCTCGCCGTGTTTGGCAAGTCGAGACAGCGGTCTCGTTGGACGAGACAGCGGTCTCGACCCTGTCAGACGAGACCGGCGGTCTCGTTGGACGAGACAGCGGTCTCGACCCTGTCAAACGAGACCGGCGGTCTCGCCACCTGACAGCGCGAAAACCTATAAATAGGGGTCCTCCCCCCCTCATTTCCACACACCTCAAGCATTAGCTCCTCCTTCTCTCTAGATTTTCTCTCTCTAGAACCCCTCCGAAGCATTTCCGGAGTTTCTGAGTGTCTTTAGGAGTATTTTTAGCGTTCTAAATCTTCTTTAGAATCCCTCCGAGGCATTTCCGGAGTTTCTGAGAGTTGTAGAGTGAAGGGCTGCCAAAAAGCACCCTCTTTTTAAAGAGAAATATAAAACAAAGCTTGCTTCGGAGGTTTAATTTCTCCCTCTCTACTTTTATTTGCTTTGATTTAACTTATGCGATAGATTAGGGCCATGTAGTCATAACTTTAAATTTCGTACAATAAAAAGGGCAAAAGAGTATTTTCTCGTTTATTTATTAACAATAAAAGTTGGCCTATCATAGGGAACCCGAAAGGGGCGTAGTAAAGGAACTAACACTTCCTTTACCACGTAACTAACTCCCTTACCCAACTCTGGTTCTAATGACCAAAGTTGGTTTTCGAAAACCAACGCCTTTAAAAAACCCTTTTCCGATGTTTCTGGTAAAAATATCGGTGGCGACTCCATAGAACCCAAAATAAATAAGTCCTTGGGTTAGCCCGGTTATCGGACAACCCAAGGACACCTTTCGAAAACCTCGCCCCTAGGTTAGCCCGATTATCGGACAACCTAAAGGCGTTGTAACCACCCATAAAAACGCGAAAACAAAAGGGTCGAAAAACCATCGCGTCGCTCCGACCGCCTCTCTTTAAGACGGCGGCGACAGATGGCGACTTCACTGGGGAAGCCTCGAGAGTTGATCCCATTTAGTGATGGGCCGGCTAAAAATAATAAATAGACCAAGAAAAATAACACTTTTGCCCTTAACTTGTATTATAACATGTTTTAATGTTTGGCTTTAATAAATTGTTGTTTGTTTATGCTTGCGCAAATTGCTTGAAATATAAACTATACACAATCCCTTGCACACAACAATTCCCCCTTATACCCCGGGGCAAGTGAGATAACCATAGGGAGTGGGTGGCAGGTACGGTTCGCTGTAGTGAGGGCCTTGAGCCCACCAGTGTGATCGGAAACCACCACTCAAGGTGATAACCTTCCTCTTTTGGCAATAAGACTGACTATGGCCTTAGTGCTAAGCATGGTCGGACGGCTGGAGAGTGGGGACCCTATAATGGGGGCACCTTGGGGGCCTTAGCCTGGTGAGAACAGTTAGAACCAACCCTTGCCAATGCACTTTTCTGCAGGAAAACCCTACCTCGTAAAAACGAAATCTCGCCTGTTCGGGGATGATCGAATTGTGTATGCATATGATTGTTGCATTTGTATGTTGCATAGCATAAACAAACAACATAACAAAAAACCAAAAATATTTTTCACAAATAAACACCCTTATCTCGGACAGTCTGTCTTTTAGCTAGCCTGGTTTCAGGTTCTTTGTAAGCTAAGTAGCCACGCAGTTCCGACAGAAGAGATAAGGGACGTTAATTATTCTTTCACATAAAGCCATATTTTATCTCGGACAGTCTGCCTTTTAGCTAGCCTGGTTTCAGGTTCTTTGTAAGCTAAGTAGTCACGCAGTTCCGACAGAAGAGATAAAAGGCTATAAAATAAACAAATAAAAATAAAAAATCCATTTTTCCAAAGTTCATAAATAAGACCTGGTCCAAAAATGTTATACTCATAAAACATTCATATAGGTAGTTTATTCTTCCAAAATAAAAATACGCGAATATCATGTAGAAAAACATGATAAATAGAAAATAAACACTTGCATACATTCAAATAAACATCCATTTCATCAAACATGCATTCTTGTTTTAGAAATGGAGGGAACAAGTATACAGACAAAGAAGGTGGACATTCCCCGTTTCCATACTGAGAGGTTGGAACGGCTGAGCACGGTAATGCCATCGGAGGTCCGCGCCGACTTCGAAAAATCCTACGGACGGATTTTAGACCTCCTAAAGATATGTGTCGATCAGGTGTTCTTAAGAGCACTAATCAACTACTGGAATCCAAATCTGCGATGTTTCGAGTTTCCGCATTTCGACCTGGTGCCTACCCTAGAGGAGTATGAGACCATGTTGAGGTGGCCCAAATCAGCCGGGGTCTATGTTCGCCACGAAGCATATACTCCTGCAGCACCAGTCGCTGCCCTTATCCAGTTGCCATTCCGGCAGAGTGCCCTGATAAAGAAGGGGAACACCCAGGGTTGGAAAGTAACGATGCTAGAAGACCACCTGTCCTACCTGGCTGAACGGGCATAGTGGGTCGCCTTCAACAAAACCCTGGCACTCATAATTTTTGGAACAATCTTGTTCCCCTTCCACTTCGACACCATAGATCAGGCCGTCATGGATGCCTTCTTCGCCTGGGACGTGAATTCGAAAAGTCCCTTGCCTGCTATTCTTGTCGACACCCTGCTCTCGGTGGAATTCTGTCACCAGAAGCAGGGCAAAATACTCCGCTGCTGCTCTTCATTGTTATTTGTGTGGAGCGCCACTCACCTATACGCCTCCAGTCACATGGGGATATTCCCCGACCCTTTGAGAAGTTTCTCCAAGATCCCCCTCCAACGTCGTCTGACCTCAGAATGGAGGGATGAGTGGGAACGCAAGGACGCCAACAGTATATCCTGGGTATGTCCTTGGTTCCGACCCGGCCCAGTTCTCATCAGATGTGGGGACTATCCGAGTGTACCCTTGATCGGACTCAGGGGCTGCATAGCCTACTCACCTAAAGTAGCTATGAGGCAGCTCATGAGGACCCAAACTACCATTTCCCGAGGGGAGCTCGGAGGACTGTGCTTCTTTGGAGATCCATGCACCATCGCCAACTCTCTAGCCGTGAGAAAAGCATGGGAGAGGCCAGTCTACATGGGAGACAGAGAGCTAGGAAAAGCTCGGGTGGCTGTCACCAGTGACTATGAGGCATGGAGAAATAGAAGAGGGGTGGCTCAATCATCCTCCACACCTACCACAAGCGCCAAAAATGAAGGGCTACAGGCTCAAATTGACGCCTTGACCCAGAGGATAGAGATCATGGGAGCCCAGATGAGGGCCCTTGAAGAAAAGGAGCAAGAATCTATCCTCACAATTGATGGTCTGCGAAGGCAAGGCAAGAAAAATGATCATGAAATAGAGCGCCTCAAGGACCAATGTGCTGACGCTAACGAACAAGCTATCCGAGCATCCAAAACTGCCAGAACCAGTTCGGATA